ATTCTCATTGGACATTAGTACTTTTACGAAAACATTGCCTAACGTCATCGGTGAAACTCGACCTGTAATCGGCGTTTGATCACGAGAACTACGTGGCTAGCTAGCTCCCTACTAAGTGAATTGTACCTATAATCAACTCCCTCATCGTGTACCTTCGATAAGATATCAAGGAAGTTCTATTCCCAACTAGAAAGAAGACTTTATATTGCTTGTAAATTTGTGAAACTTTTATTTATAAATCATTGTTTGTAATAACCATTTGTAATAACTGTTATTGTAAATTGTATTGTTGTGTGTATATTAAAACGTACTTGTGTTAAAAGAGAAAACTGTATGTATCAATCTTGTTGCCAAATATCATAAACTGACTATATATATCAGCTTTTACTTAAATGCTAACTCCAAAGTACAATTTAACTACTAAATTTAAAGCATCATTTAACTCAATTTCAGACTATTTGAAATTCTAATACGTAACAGTAATACATTTACAAGCGCCTGCTATAAGCATTAACAACAACAACAACAACAAACAAACAAACTAATTTAATGAACATGATTTTGATTTTCGCACGGTTCGTGAAACAAAGATTGAAGACCACAGTGTAGGTTTTTCCATCACGGTTCGTGGAACAAAGTACAAAGACTACAATTAATGTTCTTCATCACGGTTCGCCGATCAGAAATTGGAAATTGCAGTTGATGCTTTCTTTCCTGTTTGAACGAAGTCAAAACATAACACAGAAATGCAGTGTTTAACATGAAAATGACAAGACTTAACCCAACGAAAATTTCGACTACAATCCAGATTGCTTAACTGCTTAATGAACACAATGTTAACACGACCAAAAAAATAAGATTTTTATTTTAAAAGCGTGTATTATTTAGAAGATAATATTATAAGTTTTTATTTCAAATGACCTGTACTTATTAAATTCTACTGTTTAAAATTTTAGCGCCATTTAAAGTGACAATAAACCAGAAATCGAAATAAACAGACCGGCATATCGATAATAAGCCACTGAAAAATTCGTTTTATATATAGAATCTGATTAACTTTCTCCATATCAAAAATAAAACAATAATTGCGACTAATTTTGGCCTGTTCTATTTAATAATAAAAGACGAAATAAGGCGTTTCTTTTCAAGTATTTATAGTCCTACTGCTTTCATCATAATATTAGCAGATTTATAGCTTTTTGTGTAATTTAATTTGAAACAGAATCCTCGTGCTTATTGTAATGTCTCCTGGTGGGACAGCGGTTAGTTCACGGACTTACAATGCTAAAATCCGAAGTGTTCTTTCTCTAAAACAAACAACCTTAATGTAATAAACTTTATGTGTTCTGTGTCGATAGTATATGAAAACCCATATATGCTATTCGTAAAGGTCAGTCATCTCCATTTCTTTAACATAAAGAAAAACTTTATCTTTTATTTGTTATTTTCACTAACTAATCTCTACGGGTTCGATAGATTTGACCGATCTCGTAACCAACATAAAAAAATAGGAAATAAATCTAAATTATGCTCCTTTCGTTCTAGAATGGCTACAAATTATAACACGAAAACATAAATGTTTAGACTAAATACCTTAAATCTCATAACGTTATACATTTATATATATTTATTATTTTTATTATATTGCCCTTTCAGCCGTGTCTGGCTAATATTGCAGAAGTTGTAATGACGTGGTGCACTTGCACTCATGTTACCCTATCCAATAATATGAAATTGACCTTTAGTCTTTACAAAGTGACCCTATCTTGGCTGTGTTTTATTAGACTAGTATTTAGTAAAATGCAGCAGCATTTCAATTATTATACATTATATATATATATTATTATTATTGTTTAGAAATAAGTTATTAAACTTACTTTTCTTAAAGCATAGAAGCAAACAATTACCTCTTCTAGTTACGACCTTTGTACTCAGTTGCTGTTTGACATAGGTTGCTAAGCCTTTTAAAATTTCGCACGTGGAGGATATCAAATGGAATTTTTTGGGGGGGTTTGTGTATCATGTGTGAACAGGTAATTATTTTCGTACATGCGTGCGCAGGTGCTATCCTTTCAGCCATATACCAAACTCTTGAACCCTATCAGCCATACGCTTATATCACTTTTGCTAATTTGTCTCCTGCATTTGTATAATATTTCAATCTTATTAACTTATACTTTCATAAATGTTACGCTGTACTTAAATCTTGCACGTCATATCCTTTCAAGCACGTGAGTTTCATGTTTTAACTAGTCTATCCTACCCCATGCATATGTGTAACCTCTCAATCCTATCAGTTGTACAGAGGTTGAGTGCGTTACATTAAAACAACTTTAGAACCTCTCCACGTCGTTAGAGTACATGTCGTCACGCCCAGTAATGCCCTATCTTACGACCATGTCCCTTGACAATAGCCAATTGACAATTGCAAAAGGCTCCATCGTAAGGCTTTCATGTCCAAATCACACCATTTGTTCATAATCCGGTTACTGTATAAAAACGACGGTTTCCCAGCGCCTAATTCAATCGTACCATCGCACAGAAATCCAAAGGTTACTTGACCAGAATGTCTTCGTATGGAACAGCAAGAAAATCCGTTTTGTTCTCCAGCTACATCAGGCATGAGACGATTGAATGGAAGGTATGACTAGAAGCTTTATCTTGATGAACCTATACCCTGTTGGCCTCATTTACAGAAGGAGGAACTTCTTGATTATGTTGAGTCTATTGCCTAGGACACGTGGACGGCTTTTGCCATTGAAATATTTGTTCGTGGATTTTTATCTTTTACAAGACGCCACACTTTGCTTACCACAGCAGGGGTACGACTTGTTGCAGGTCTCTTTCTGGATGGTCCTGATACCCCAAGTTGATCTACATTCCTTTGTTTGGAATTCTAAGTCCTCGATCTGAAAACGTCTTTACGACGTGAGTGCATGAAAATTTTGCGGATGTTACATACTCTTCCTAAAGCAATCAATTTTCTGTGGCATCACACTACTTACGAAACGCCAAACAATGTCAACGTGTATTTCTGATACATGTCGTTTCACTACGACTTTATATCATTGCGGTTGGCACATAACTTACTGATTTGCATATTCAAAATAATTTTAACATAACGTACTCAACTCTGTACATTTTTAATTGTTGTACTACCTAGCTTCTTGCACATGTATAACTTTTCATTTGAGTATTATATTTATAATTTTGCATGCATATTCACAATCATTTTATTCATCTGTGTCTTACATATACACAACCCTCCGTTTTTGCCATCATGACACTTTTAATTCTTGTTCTTTCGGACTTTGTAAGTATATATATATATATATATATATATATATATTCAATGTTACCAGTTTCAATACTCTTATCTTATCTTGCCTCTTTCAGATTTATAACTTTACACACATCTCACACTTACACTGTTAAGTTATAAATTTTCATATGTTTCACAGTACTTGCTAATGTTTCAAAACCTACGCCTAAGTCTTTTACTGAACGTCTCTGGACACGTTTCGTCTTTACATAACGCATATGAATACTCCTATTCAAGTATACAACTATGATGATCTGTTATTATTTTTTGTTCATTCATAAAGATTGTCATTCATTCTAAA